GTTCTTGTTTAGTAAATCAGTCTCAAAACAAGATCAAAAAGAATTTTTGGCTGATATAAGATTTAAAACTTGGTTAGATGGACAGTTTTTACAGTGTGGGTTTTTAGGATGACCAAACACAACTGATCAGATAATATCTGCGCCTGTGAAAGAACTTAAGGTTAAAGATTGTCTGAGAGATACGAGGGTTCAAGGCCAGTTAGACATTTATAAGTCAACAGAAACATTTTAAAATTCATTCTGTGGCTCACAGGGAGCTAATGAAGTCAGGACAAGACAGGTGAAATGTGTTCAAATCTACAAGTTCCAGTTAAAACCATTCATGTCGAGTTGTACAGATTGTTCACACAGGTTTTTTCATATTTTGCATGCATGCAGATGTTTAAAGTAATCTTACTATTGAATTTTACCTTCTGATAGTTGTGGCGTGTTGAGTAATTAATGTCTAATGGAAAAATGGCTGCTTGTCAGCATTCACAAACATAAAGCCAGAGATAGGCGTTTAAAGAAACACAGCTGTTCTCATGTTCCTGTCACTCAGAGCAGCAGCAGCAGGAGTCTTATCATGTCGAACAGATCAAACAAATCAAACTACGTCTTTTTAGAGTTTTAAGTTTCAAGGTTAGGCTATAAAATCACAAGAAAATGAACGGAAGTCAATTCTCAGTCCCCACAAGGTTATTAAAAACAGACCTGTGTGTGCATGTTTATCAAACTATTATTGATTCTGCATGACAAATTTTAATGGAACTTGTAGAAATTAATAAATGGATGTACATCTATAAAAAATTATCTTTTGTTGTTAGCTTGATTCAAGATGGCTGCCACTAACTGCATCTGAAAACATAAACCTGAATATAACTCAGTCAGCTTGACAGAAATTGACCTTGAAATTTACTTTTTAATTAAATGTAATCAGTTCTGTTTCTTTGTTAGCAAAATACTACTTGACCGATTTCAATTAAACTTTCAGTCATTGGATGTACAACTAACAGATTAACTTTTAAAGTCAACCTACCTGAAGATGACCACCACAGCTACCCAACATCAATCAGAAAAATGACTACAACTCCGTCAGTTTCACAGATACTGAGTTAAGATTTGATGTATGTGTAGCTGTAAGTGATTTACGACACATCCTCCGAGCTGGAAAGGATCAGGCATCATCTTATTCTCAAAGTTTGATGAAAACAGCTGCAGCTGCATCACTTCCCAACAGAAGGTGATCTCAGTCTGAAACTCTGGCATGAAAGGTGGCGGGTGATCCTTTAGGGACTGCAGAGCCAAACAGGGACCTAAATCAAGTATAACTTTTTCTCGGCTCTTTGTAAGTTGTTCCTCCGTGTTTGTTGTGTGTTTTTCAGCTGTTACGAGAACTGAAGCATCCAAACGTGATCGCTCTTCAGAAAGTGTTCCTGTCCCACAGCGACAGAAAAGTTTGGCTCCTCTTCGACTACGCTGAACATGACCTCTGGGTAAGTTTCTGCAGCACGGCTGCAACATGTCACGTTTGAAAGTATCAGAACTAGCAGCAAAACTCACGGTTCTGGTACTGAATCAGTAACATTAACATCTTCAGTACTTGTGAAGTACTTGTTCACATGATACTTGTGATCTTGGTCCATCTAACCTGGACTTCCTGTCTGTTCATGACCAAACCTCTGCAGCTCCTTCAGGTTAGATAACACTTCTTGTTTCCAACAATCTTTGGTGTGTGTATGTGTGGGGGGGGAGTATTCTGTATTTTCCAGGCAAGTACTTCAGCTACCATCCCACATCATGATGCTGCCACCACCGTGCTTTACTGTGGGGATCATGTCAGCACAATGAGGGGGGTTAGCTTTGCTGCACACATGGTGATGTCCTTAAAATTCAGTTTTTGTCCCTCCTGACCACAGCAGCTTCTTTCACCTGTTTGAGGAGTCTCCAATATGTCCTTTGGCAAATTGCTTGATTTACTTGAACCCCACGCCCCCGGCGGGGGCGTGGGGTTCAAGTAAATCAAGCAATTTGCCATATTATTGTCATATTATTTTTTGCTTTCTTTATTAACCAGTGTTCTCATAGATAAACAAAGACATGTGTGGTATCTATCTATAGAAACGTCAGAATCTTGGCTAAAAACTCATATAAACCATTTCTACATCCACCAGACACAGATAAAACAACAAGCAGTTGAATCTGAATGTAAACAAACTGCACAAAATGGCGTCTCGGCAAAACCCAGTCTCAGCTGTTCACCAGTGACTTCTTCACACACAAACATCATGTCTGCTGAAAGCAGAGACCTGACAGATTCTAAAAATATAAGTTTCATCACAATCCAACCAGAATTCACTCAATTAGCAGCAAAAAAAACTGAAGACCTAGCACTCGGATTTGAAAATTATAAAAGTTTTCTTACGTTCGTATTTTTTTCCTCCAAATCCTAAATCCACTGGCATAAACTTGTATTTACTGAGCAACCATATTTCCCTGGTATGAGTTTCAAGCAGTTCCTCCTCCAAAATCACCCCGTCTGACCCAATTACAAGACGTTCATTGGACGAAGGTGAAAGTCTTTCAAACTGCGTCACAGACTTCCTCTCCTTATAGCAGGCGATTGGTCAGGTTTCCATGAACGTGCTCTAGATAGCTTGATTCGACTGTTTCCAAGGATGAAAAGGAGGGCTCATTTGTGCAATTCAGCCAATCCAAACTGAAGTTATAGTCCCGCGTAAGGCTAGCTGCTCCTCCGAGCTAAAAACATGTTTTACACATAAAGCGCAGTGTCACACACTGGACTTCCAGTTGTGTCTATGTGCCGTTTAAAAAATAAAATAAAACATAAAAGTGCCGTTTTTGCTAGTTAGCTTACTTATTTATCAAGTTTATTAAATTTTGTAACTAAAAACTTTTTAAAAATCTACTTTTGTAGATGGTACCAAAATGTGCCAATCTGTGCCAAAACACCTAATTTTTTTTACTAAAACCTCTGTAACTTTGTTGTATTTTACTTCAGCAGCATGAGGTTTTGCACAGGTAATATCCATAAGTGGATTCATGGTTTCCAAGAGTTTTTAGCCTTATTCAATATACTTTTGAAAATGTTATTTACTGTATAATGCAGTAAAACCTCAGGCGAGGGGGGAAAAGGCTATTTTTTTCTATGTTCCATCCTCAGTATCTCTGAAACAAAAGCATATGATGTGATACTTACACTCCTGATGAAATCTACCAAGTGTTAGCTTTATTTTGATATCAGGGGTATTTATATGGTGTTTTTAGGTGCTGAGATACACCCACTACATTTGGGCATGCTTTTTCGAGCACAAACTTCAAGAAAACCCCTTGGGGTTTAATCGTTTTTGTGCCACTCTTCTTTAAAATCCAGCTGTGTGCAGCCTAAAGTGGTCTCACATACAGATCCTCCCATCTTAGACCAGTGATCAGTACCATGTTTCTATATGTTTGCTCGGTTTGCAGCACATCATTAAGTTCCACCGAGCCTCCAAGGCCAACAAGAAGCCCATGCAGCTTCCTCGAGGGATGGTGAAGTCTCTGCTGTATCAGATTCTGGATGGGATCCATTACCTCCATGCCAACTGGGTTCTCCACAGGGATCTGGTGAGTTGCTATATTAGCTTCACTGCTCCAGTTTCCCTTTACTGAGACGGCAGTCACGGCTTGCACGTTATCACAAGAAGAGAACTGGTTGTGTTGTGCATCACGTCAAAGACAGAACCCTGAGTGATGTTTAATCATGTTGGTGGTGAACCCTCCTTTGCACAATATAATCTTATTTTATTAAAGTTAAAACACACTTTAGATCTCCACCTCACACAGTCCATTTACTCACACACCACCTGTGGATTCTTCTTTGTTGGTGTTTGGGGAGCTCACATGTGCTTTTGTTTGGCATCTGGTCAGCAAACTGGGTATCAAAACTAGGAATTACAATTTTAAGATTCGAATGATTCTGGGAGAATCGACGTGTTAGTCCTAGTTCCAACAAATACTGGAGACTGGATTCCCAACCCTAATAAACAACTCTTTTCATGATATTTGTAACAAGATGCTAAATTTTAATTTAATGAAGCAAAATTAATCTTTTTTTGTTTGTATGTAAAAAAATAAAGAAAAAGTTACAATAAAAATATACTTAGTAAATTACAGATCCTCAAAAACATTACTTACCATATTTGTTCAAGTATAATACGTACAATTTAATCCATAAAATCATCCATAAAGTTGGGGGGTAGTATTATACTCTGATAAATATTTTTACTTGTGTATTTTAACTCAAATATTGGCTTCATTCACAAAATGCCTGAGTCCGGAAATGAGACCGCGTCGTAAAAATCAGTTGAAACGAGCTCACCTCTGACACTCCTCTGTGCTTCAGAGTGAGATAATAACAGAGCCAGGCAGGAGACATGATGTGAAAAAAGGGGAGAAAGTAGTCCTGCACCTTAGTAATGATAACAAACTAATGACATTAGTGTGTGACTGAGCTGCTCCTCGAACAACAACAAACACATGTTCGTCTGTAATGGCTGCCGTCTACCAGTGTTCTGAAAAAGTTTGTATCCCTGAAAAAATGTTTCTCCACCAGAGGGGGCGCTCATGAGTAGGAAGTAATCTGCCTTTCCCCCACAAGATGGTCCAAATCTCATGTGAAGTCTCTGAATTTTGTGTTGGCACCTCCTTGTGGACTATGTGTAAAATGCCAGAATTCATATGATGCTGCTACAGCTGATATATATTTGTTGTCAAAATACCTTTTAGTACATATGTTGTTAAAATAAAATCAACAGTCCAATGATCATTTTACTGAAATGTATAAAGACTGCAAAGGCTGAAAAATCTTCAAGTTTGGATGAAATTGGAGGTAAAGTATTATTTTTTTATACTTTTTAAGCTCAAAAAGGTGGGGTGTCATATTATACATGAGATCATATTATACATGAGGTCGTATTATATATGAGATCATATTACACATGAGATCATATTATACATGAGATCGTATTATACATGAGATCGTATTATACATGAGGTCATATTATACATGAGATCATATTATACATGAGATCATATTATACATGAGATCATATTATACATGAGGTCGTATTATACATGAGTTCGTATTATACATGAGATCATATTATACATGAGATCGTATTATACATGAGGTCATATTATACATGAGATCATATTATACATGAGATCATATTATACATGAGATCGTATTATACATGAGGTCATATTATACATGAGATCATATTATACATGAGATCATATTATACATGAGATCGTATTATACATGAGATCATATTATACATGAGATCATATTATACATGA